CCCCCAAGGGCTGCTCCAACCCAGAACCCCCCACCCCCGCAGCCCCGCCAATGGAGCAGTCACAGGCTCAGCCCCCAGCCCCACCCCAGAGCTGGGACACTGCACGCCGTGGCAAAGTGGGGATTGTATTCGGCATGTTCTGTTGCATGTGCGCTCTCTGGCTCTGCAGTGACCTCGTGTGTGCGCTTCAGCGTCCCTGGGGGGATGGGAATTCCGGAGGGACAGCCTCTCATAACCTGAGCAGACAATGGGGAGACCAGGAAGCAGGACAAAAGCCAGAGGAGGAGCCTGGCTGGGAGTTGAGACCAGAAGCTGGGAGTGCGTCAGACTGGACTGGCTTGGGCACCCCTCTCCCCAAGCTGGGCGGTCCTGGCTGCTCCTGATCGCTTTGTCTGTTCTACACTGTGTCCCTGTTGCCTCAGAACCCTTCTGTTCTCCCTGCCGGCTGAGCCCCACGCCTGGCTGAGGGGGGAGACACAGGGGACTCCCCCACTCCTCAGTGAAAACAGGGTGTGGACCTCAGCCCCCCATAGTCTTACCCCAGAGGTGGGGGTCATCCATGCAGGACTGGTGGTTGGACACAGTGATGAGAGGGATGCCAGGCTGACGACGCTCGACCAGATCATACAGAACTTCCTTGTTATGCACCCGCAGCCGGTTCATGCGCCCTGTGGAGAAAAGGGGGGTAATCAAGGCATGGGGAAGGCAGCCAGGGGAGGCCCATGCTGGTCTCCCCACTGGAGGGGCATGGGAGAGGGAGTAGGTAGCTGGTGGGGGTATACGTGACAGTGGGAAAGACTGGCAGGAATTGGGAGCGCTGACCTACGTGCAGGTGGGTGTTGGTGTGATCCCCACGTACCACAAATGAGATGACCTGGAGCAGGGGCAGTGAGAAACCCATGGTGGGGGGAGTGACTGGGGCACTGCAGGGGAGTTAGTGCCAGATGTGAGACCTGGGTCAGTGAGACAGGCTGGGGAACCTCAGGGGCGGGGCCCAGGGCACTGGGGGCGGGGCACTCACGGGTCCAGAAGCAGCTGTAGGTGCCCACCAGGCCGGTGACCAAGCGGCTGGGCCAGCCCCACGGCGGGGGGGGGGGGGGGGGGGGGGGG